ATGTCATTGCTAAATTAGCTACCGATCAAAGTGGACTGCAGCGTTGTAAGGTTTTCTGCATTCCTGGTGTTTATTCTTTTGGTCTTTCTTATCTGGATATTCAACAGGACTGCTCCATTTCAGGTCATTCTAATTTTGAAAAGTTTTCCTTTTCAGGTTTCCTTAGTAAATGCTAAAGGAGAAAGCATAGCTAAGGAAGCCAAGATTGTAGGTGTTGATCCAGCATATGATCTGGCTGTTCTCAAGGTGTTGAATCAATCTATTACTTGATATGGTTGCCAATTGCCATTGTTTTACTACTTTATTCTCTATGGAGCCTTGGAGCAACGGTCAAGTTATCTCCGTGTGACCTATAGGTCACGGATTCGAGCCGTGGAATCAGCCATTGATGTTTGCATCAGGATAGGCTGCCTACATCACACCCCCTTGGGGTGCAACTCTTTCCCGGACCTTGCGTGATAACGCGGGATGCTTCGTGCACCGGGCTGCATTTTTATTCTCATTACTGGTCAGCTATATGACATTATTTGTATACAAGCTCTTACAGTTCCAACACCCCTCCCTCTCTAACTTCTCAACTGTTATCTCTTATTGCTTCTCTCCTTTAGCAAAAAAGCAATTTTATAGGGACAAGTGAGAACACTTCTCTTAGATTAGATCTAGTGAAAATGAAATGTTAGAAGGAGAATGCGTACTAAGCATGAAAAAAATATGTGCAAAATAAAGTTGTCAAACAACTCTCGATATCTATACAAGCTGATTGGTTGAAAAGTCCCCTCGGTGTAATTAGTTTTTCTCTTATTCAACTGCAGGTTGATGTTGAAGGTGATGAAGTAAAACCAATCTCTGTTGGTACCTCCCGTGGCTTACGTGTAGGTCAAAGTTGCTTTGCCATTGGAAATCCCTATGGATTTGAAAACACTCTGACAACTGGGGTAATACTTATCTACAGTTCAAGAATATTTCCATGCGGAGACTAATTTTTATGGTTTCATCCCCAGGGAAAAACCTATTTAGCATTTATATTTCATGCATTTCTGCTAAGCCTACTTAATATAGAACTTGTAATCTTGATTTCCTCTTAGGATGCAAAATGTTTCCATTTCTATAAAAGGTCATCTCTCTGCTTTTGCTTGTAACATCATCTGATATAAAGAAGGGAAATATTTTGTTCAACTCATAATGTTATATACTATCAACTCTCAAGAATGTCAGTTTACACCTAGCCAAAAGGGAAGCAAAATCTTGAAACTGATTTGCTCCTGTTTCTCCGTGCAAAGGGAAAGGGCAAAAAGAAGAAGATACTTAATCATGGGGGAAACGGATATTATTGTAGTTTATCTGATTATTTCAAATATTACAGGTAGTTAGTGGATTAGGCAGGGAAATACCTGCACCAAATGGAGCCGCCATTAAAGGAGCGATTCAAACAGATGCTGCTATTAATGCTGGTAACCATTTTTCCTATATAAGACATTTACTGGTTGCTAGAAAAGTTTGGTGAATAGCACTATGGTTACCTCTGCACACTGCACTGTTTGAATAGGACGTAAGACATTGTTTAGAGGGCAAAACGAGCAGAGCCAGTTAAATGGTTGTTAATCGGGTCTACTTGAGCATGAGGCCGGGACAGAATGCTGGTTTGATTTAGCGGATGAAGTTCAATTTCTAACTGCTGAAGATGGTCAAAATAGATTTACTTTTTCTTGTCTAAAACTCATTATTCATCAGGTTATGCATCTACGGGAAGCTTTAGTTTTGACCTATAGTTACTAACTTATGCAGGGAATTCAGGTGGCCCATTGATTGATTCATCTGGTCATGTAATTGGTGTAAATACTGCGACCTTCACCCGCAGAGGTAAGAAATTCACTACTTTCAAACCCTGAATAAAACCTCCCAAGTCCCTTCTCATATTGAGTGAGACTATTGACATTGAAGCCTCGCCCCCACCCCTGCCAAAAAATGTATTGGCTTTGCCCTCTACCATAAAACTGCTGAACATAGCTTTGGAGAGCACAATTACAGCAGTTTTTATTCATTGCCTTTTAAATGCTCTCATGCGTCAAGCTTTATGTGCAACTAATATTACTGCTTATTATTGGTATTAATATTTTATTATCCCAAAAGCATGACATAATTTGTACATTAGTCGAATACTCTTTCATAACAAGGTGTAAAAGGATTATTGACAAAAGAAGGCGTAAAAGATGTACATTCTAGGCATTATAAAATCTCAATACCAAAGCTTGATCAAAATCTACTAAACAGTAAAATCTCGATCAAAATTGAGCGTTTATCAAACAAAGATTAAATCCTTAAGGGATTTAATAATAGCTTGGTTTTTAACTAGATTACAAAGTCGGACTAAATTAGACCTAACAAAATATGAAGTCCCCTGATAAAGCGCAATAACAAGGTTAGAGCCTATTACTATAGAAGTCCCCCTTTTCCCTGCTAGCCTATGATGAATTATGTGGAATCCTACTTAGTACACATGTCTTGAATATTATTAGTATATTTGCTATTGAATCTTGATTACCCTAGAGGTTACATTATCTTGTGATTTTACTAAAGAACCTTTTATCATATACAGAAAAAATCGCATTATCGGAAAGAAATTATAGTTCAAACTTATTTGATACTTAGAGTTGGACAGGTGAATATGTAAAACTATAACAGATATTTTGATCATCTTATAGTCATTTCAGTTACTTGGTGTTAAACTGAACTGTTACTATTCTTGCTGCCTCGTTGGAGTTTAACGCCCTCTGCTCCTCATGAACATTTTATATATGCAGAAACTTAGTATCAGAAAAAGATGAAATCGGAGTGAATGTCTAATTGCTTTTCGTCTTCAATCATGATGCAGGCTCGGGTATGTCCTCAGGGGTTAACTTTGCCATACCAATTGACACAGTTGTACGAACAATACCTTACCTGATCGTTTATGGAACAACATACAAAGACAGATATTGAATGTCTGACATCAGAAAGTTACTTATGCCTGATCTGTGATGATCCTGACCTTACGGCAGCCTTTGTTGTGTTCCCTGGACGGTATTGAACTTGATAGAAAAGGCTTTTGTTTGGAGCTGGAAGAATAATCATGTTCTTAACTGCAGCTCCTTCTGGTGCTTAGTCAATACATGTTATTTTATTGGGAAAAGGACCAAATTTGTCCCTCTACTTTAAAAAATGTATACATTTAGCCTCTGTTATACTTTGAGACCAAAAATGCAAAGTTATTTAAGCAAACCCCTAACCCTAAAGGACGTCTGTGACCCAGCTTTGCGCTCGTTTGCCTCTTCCAGCAAAACCATTTCATTAATCTTCAATGGCATGAATAACTTACACTTTCCTAATACTATCCAGTGGCTTCTGTAGTTGTTACCTGTATATGCACTCAATGTAAAGAAGAATAAATCAAGAAAAGCACAGCTGAACAGAAAAAGACAAACAATTGTCTAGTACAGGTCTTCACCAAATCCCCATTGCAAATAACTGTGACAGACGATTATAAATTTTAGATGCATTACAAAGGAAAAGAACATTAGATGCATTTCTTTTTAAAAAATTAGAATTGCTTGATCATATGAAAAGAAAAGTATGTCTGCAAAGCCAAACAAGAAGAATGGGGTCCTCAATTAGTTGACAGTTTCACATCAGCTGGAGTAAATAATCCAATTACTCCAGGAATAAGCCAAAACTAATTTCCTCAATCGAGACCTAGAAATAGGAAATACTTATGCGAAAACTCAATTATTTCAGTTTAGATATCTACTCTCCGCTGCATGTTTTTGGCTGCCTGAACGGAGGAGTTTGCTCCCAGTAAGTTCACAATCACGGAGAAATGAATCAGTAATAGGAAATTTTGATCTCAGCGTTAACAAAAAATGGAAACATAAATCCACTTAGAGTCAACATTCGTGTTTCTAATTGTTACAGGGAACAATCATTTATAGATAGTGTAAAGTTCAAGAAAGGTAATACTTAAGCTGAGGAATCCCAGTCCGATTGCTGAATAGAAGTCTTGAAGTTGTAATTTTCCATCTCATCAACTTGTGTGTCTTTGATTTCAGCGGCTGATTTTGCAGCAGATGAGCTACACCATTGCACCTGAATCTTCTGTAAAGAAGTGCTGTAACCAAAACCCTGAGGGGATTTCCTCAAGCCGCTTACATTTTTGCAGCAACAGACACTCGAGGCATGGGAAGGCATTCCGTTCGTGCAATATTCAGAAAGTCTAGTTTCAACAACTTATGTCTCTTGAACTCCACATCATTCACATCCTACTGATCCCCTTCAAACGCTCTGAATACTAACTTTAGAACCTCAAGATTTTCCCATGCACTAATTGCAGAAATTGGCGAAATTTGGGTAGTGTCAATTTCTTAATATTTGAAGGGAAACTAAACGATGAGGCAAATGTCCATCCAGTTGTGCTCTCCATCAAACCAACTTAGAACTTAAACAGTCTGCCACACGTTTCCATCTTGCCAAGAATTCAGTAGGATAAAAAGAGGCAGCCTTTGACACTTCTCTGAAATTTGTTTTCCAACTTCCAGTAGTTCAGTAGGATATCCCTCCTCATGAAACAACTTTCTTGTTCGTTAAGAAAACGAAGATAATGAGGTTCACTGCATTGTTTAGCATACGGAGCAAACTGTAGCACACCGGGCGGCTCAACACATTTGGTGATCTAAAGCCAAATTTTACTAATAAGCCTTTAATTATAAATAAATAAAAAATTATATATGTATGTATGTCTACCTTTTGAGATGCATAGTTATTTAAATATGAATTAAACACTACTAGAAAACGACTTGATTCCGACCGGAATTTCTGACTGAAAATAGTCGTCGGAAGTTTCGTCGAATTCCGTCGGAAATTTGGGAAAAGAAATTTATTTATTTTAATTTAAAGTTACCGACCACTTCGGTCGGAATTTTTTTGTGCAAAATTCTGCGAAACAGCGTTCCGATTGAATTGGTCGGACTAAAAGTCAATTTTCTCTGTTGACCGGGTACCGACTGAATCAATCGCAAACAAGAAAAAAAATTAATTTTTAAATTTAAAATAGCGACCGAATCGGTCGCAGACGTGGCACGTCAGATCTATTTTTAACTTTCCGACTGAATCGGTCATAAATTCTTTTATTATTTCCCCCAAACCTGATTTTCTTCACATTTTTCATTCCCACCAAACCTTCTCTCCCTTCTCTAACATATTCTTCTTCCTTCCCTTTGGCGATTGTGGCGATTCCAACCGGTAAGTGTCACTCTCCATCACTCTTCTTCCATCCATCTCTCTCTTTCTTTCTCCATTTCTTTTTTTCATCTCTCTCTCATTCCAAGGTTTCTTCTTACAGGCGGCAGCTTTCGGCCGGTGACAGCGGAATATTCCGGCGGCGACAGCAACATTGAGCTAGGTTAGTAATTTTTTTCTTTTTTTAGTACCTAATTCGCTCTCCTAATTGGGTTCTTTAATTTGTGTATCCCTAAAATTGAATTCAACATTGTGGCTTAGATGTCTATTTTTTCTTTTTAGATTTAATCTAATTTGATTCTCCGTGCATCCCTAAAATTTAATCATAACCTTATTAATAATATTGTGCGTTAGTTATAAATTGGAGAGTAATACGGAAGTTTATATGATGATGATGTATCTTATTAACAATGTGCATTAATTATTGAATCTATGATTTACATTTATTATAGCATGCTTTAAAATAGTTGAAAGCTCTATATCATTTTATTTTAGTAGTTTAATGTAACTAACGAAATCTAATTTAAGTTAAATTAAGGGTCATAAGATCATGAGACTTGTGTAGTTTACACGAAACTTAGTATTTATCCAAAAATTAACTCCGAAGATTTGAACTTATTTATCAAATTAATAAGCTTAGATAGTCAAGTGATATATCTTTTAAAGTGTTTGGCATATATATATAACTTATATAATTGAAATCATCCAAGTATTACACTTAAAAATATAATAAGTGATTGGATAAATAACTTTGATAAGAACATGACTTATTAATTAGTTTGTTTGATTAGTTAGTATTGATAGGTTAATTTTTGGGAGAAGGAAGCTTGTCCTTTGTCGGAAAAAATAATAGGAGAAGAAAGAAGTATTTTTAATCACTCCGTGCCCTATATAGTTTGAATAATTCGAGAGATATTTTGGGGAGAAATCAGAGTACGACTATATTATTTATAAACAAGATTAGGTCCGAAATTGGTCAAATTTCAATCATCTTGTTTAATCCATTTTTTATTTTTACTAGTTTTTTTTATTTTACAAATATACTATATTAATTAAAGCCATGTGTGAACTTTATGGACATATAAGAAGTTATTTAATGAATTTATATTTTGAGAGACTTGTATAACATAGAATAGGGATAAATATAAGATTTTGAGTGTTAATGTTTAAAAAAATATTATGTTGGAAAATAATAAGTAAATTAAAAATGAACCTTCGAATGGGTGTAACCCATTAAATACTTTAAATAAACTAAAAATTGTAAATATCTTAAAAAATTTAAGTTTTTTTTTGTTTGTGTAGATGGCATTTACGCATCGTAGATGGATGTATAATATGAATCATCCAAATCGTGTAAGGTTAAGAGATGAATTTAAAGAAGGGGCTACTGGAGTTATTGCTAAGGCAAGGACACTTGATGATTTTCATATTGAAGGAACGATTATGTGCGCTTGTGTGAAATGCAAGTGCGTAAAGTTATTGGGAGAAGATGTTGGAACATGTCATCATTTTAAAAGGAGATTTATGAAAAATTATTATATATGAACTGCTCATAGGGAGAATCGTGATATCGTAAATGATGTTAATTTTCATAAGTGGAGAATAATATTGAAAACTTTAGATTCGATGGCATGATGAGGGATGCCTTTGAGATATTTCTGGGGGCTCAATTTGAACCAAATGATAAGGCTAAGAAGTTCTTCAAAGAGTTAGAGGAAGCTAGTTCTCCGTTGTATGAAGGCTCAATGCATTTCGAGTTGCCAGTTGTTGTTTGATTACTTCAGATTAAGTCGGATAGTTCTATTTCTCAATCGGGCATGAATTCTATCATTGGGCTTATGAATGAATTTAATTCGAGTAACATTGACCTACCCAAAGTTTTCTACACGGCAAAAAAATTGATTTTCAAGTTGGGTCTTTCATCAGAGAGGATTCATTGCTGAGAGAATGGTGGCATATTATTCTATTACGATAATGCATCTCTAGAGAACTGCAAATTTGTAACAAGCTCATTACAAGGATGCCACAAATGATAAAAACAAGAAGATCCCGGTGAAAGCGATGCACTACTTACCCCTTATACCAAAGTTAAAGAGGTTGTATGCATTAGTGAGCTCCGCTCCTCATATGAGATGGCATTATGAGCATAGAAGGCCAGATGGTGTTATATGTCCCAGATGGAGAAGCATAGAATCATTTCGATAGGGTGTTCCCGGACTTGACTAGTGAACCAAGAAACACTAGGTTGGGATTATGCGCTGATGGATTCGCTCCATTTGCCGTCTTTACTGCACCATATTCATGTTGGCTGGTGTTTGTTACACCGTATAATCTTCCACATGAGTTATGTATGACAAGTCTATATCTGTTTCTAACTTGTATTGTTTCAGGTCCACGCAATCCAAAAAAGTTGATTGATGTTTACATGCAGCCTTTGATTGATGAGTTGAAGTTATTGTGGTATCAAGGCGTGAAAACATATAATGTATCAACTAAGCAAAACTCCAGATTGCGTGCTTCTTTGATATGGACTATAAATAATTTTTCTGTTTATGGAATGATGTCAGGGTGGTCGATTGTCGGAAAGTAGTTTGTCCGACTTGTATGGAAGATACAAAGTCATTCACTTTGAAACATGGAGGTAAGAACACATGGTTTGACTACTGTCATCGCATCTTGTCAATGGATCATGAGTTTAGGAGAAATACTAGTGCATTTATAAAGAACAAAACTGATTATGAGAAGCTGCCATCCGTTTTGTCTCCAAAAGAGATTTGAAATAGAGCCAGGGATCTTCCTAAGGTAACAGTGTATCCCTTCACTAATAACATACATGGTTATGGTGTTACACACAACCGATCTAATAAGATATCGCGTGCTTCAGAGATATTTGTATGATCCCAACTCCAATACTATATTATTTTTCCTTCTTGATTTATTTTATTTATATAACGTGTATTATTTTTTATTTCAGGACAAGTATCATATTGATCTTGATGCATGGTGACAAACTCCCCCTGAAGGAATTCAGCCGGCCCCGGAGGATATGACTGCAATTTGGACACAAGCGACAGGTGGCATGAATAAAGGTATAGATATTATGTAATTATATATTTTGATATTAGTTTGAAAGTTGCGTGTTTGTTTTCTTACTCCTTTTACTTTTTTTTCTTTATTTCTCGTGAAAATAAATAAAGTTCGAGTCTATGGGATTGGAGTACAATCCCCAAGAAGAAGTGGAAGTTATGCGTCATAGAATGGATCAAATGTCGCAAGAATGGGACGCAACTCAGGCTCTGATCCAAAAATTATTTAAAAAGAAAAGCAAGAAAAGCAGTCAAGCTGCAATGGAGTCTGAGTCTGAGGAGGACACTAAGTCTGACTAGGATTAGCTATTTGAATGTTTTAGAGTTGAAGTTAGAGACATGTTTAATTTATGAATTTGAGTTAGTATTTTGATAATTGGTTGATCAAAATTACTGTTGTTTGATTAGTTGGTTGGATTGTTATAAATATTACTGTTCGTTTTATAGTAAATTGTCACGATCCCAAACCGGATCCGGTCGTGATGGCGCCTATCGTGAAGATAAAGTCAGCCGACACAATTCCCAAATTCCGTTTTCACAGTTTAATAAGTCCATTTAAGTCATTTATAAGGATAAATCTCCAATAAGTACAGATTTAGCGAAATAAAATAAGTGCGGAAGTAAATACAACCCGACATCAGGGTGTCACTAGTCATACCAAGGCCTGAATACAACAAGAGTCTAAAAATGTACTAAATACAGTGATGAAAATGAGAGGAAGGAAACAATGTTGTGAACGTCGTGCAGCCACCTTGCTAACTCTGATGACTCCGCGTCTGAGCAATCAACACCAGCTACCGAGTTCGAAATACCTGAATCTGCACACGAGGTGTAGGGAGTAATGTGAGTACTCCAACCTAGTAAGTAATAAAAGTAAATAAAGACTGAGCAGTAGGAAATAATGAATCCACATTTATGATAAACTCAATAAGCACAACAGGTTTTCAAATCGAAATACGAGTCAATCGTCTCATTTAAAAATCCATCTTTTGGTAAGAATCATTTGAAAATGCTTTCCAGCAGTATTATTTAAAACGTTTGTTCAACATTTTCAATAGAGGCTTGGTCTAAAAATGAGTGAAAGGAGTAATTAAATCAACATGTTCAATAGAAACTCGCTTTAAAGAGGAGTGAAAACAGTAAGTTCATAAACTAGCCTCTCAGGCAAAGCATCACTCATGTACATGTATATATGTATAGCCCCTCGGACAAGCCTCTCAGTCACTCAGGACTCAACTCTTACCAATCAGCGCTCACACTCGATAGGTACCATATAGTAACCATTGCGGCATGCAGCCCGATCCATATATATAGTCGACTGCGCTCACTGGAGGTGTGCAGACTCCAGAGGGGCTCCTACAGCCCAAGCGCTATATTGCTACGGCGTGCAGCCCGATCCAACATATCACTACGGCATGCAGCCCGATCCATATATATATAATCCTCAAAACCAAGCCCTCAGCCTCTCTCAGTCATTAACCTCACAATCTGACTCTCGGTCTATCTCAGTAATTAACCTCACAATCAGACCCTCGGTCTATCTCAGTCATCAACCTCAAGATCACTCGGACCATCAGTAAAACAGGGAACCCCGCCCAAACAATTTTCACATTTTTTAAGAAATAAAGTGATAAAATCAGATTTAAAAAATAAACAAGTAAAACATGACTGAGGATATGCTTTCAAAACAAATAGAGTGAGGAAAAATAGTGAAAGTGCCCCTAAGGGTCTCAGCAGGTCGGCACAAGGCCCCAAGCATGGCATACAGCCCAAAAATATAATATCAATCTCTAGAACATGGAATATCATAAGATTTCAAATCAAATACGCGACTTAACAGTCATACGGGACGGACCAAGTCAGTCCCCAACGGTGCACAACTCCACACTCGGCATCTAGCAAGTGCGTCACCTCAAAGTAACACAACGATGTGTAATCTGGGGTTTCAAACCCTCCGGATAGTATTTACAATCATTACTTACCTCGATTCGGTCCAAACTCTAGCCCGCGATGCCCTTGCCCTCACGAATCGACCTCCGGATGCTCCAAATCTAGCCACAATCAGAACATAACTATTAAAATATGCTAAGGGAACAAGGCCCACTCGAAAATATCCAATTTACATCAAAAATTCCGAAATTTCTCAAACCCAGCCCTCAGGCCCACGTCTCGGAACTCGATAAAATTAACATCAATGGAATCTTCATCCTCTCACGAGTCTATACATATCAAGAACATCAAAATCGGACCTCAAATGGCCCCTCAAATCCCCACTCAATGGTCTCTTAATCTCAAGCCCTAATCTCTCAATTTTCTTCCTTAATTTCCACTAATACCATGATTAAACAATGGAAAAATGATCATAAACATGAGTAATGAGGCTTAGGGAACTTACCCAACTGATTCTCTTCGATTCTCCCTTGAATTCATTGCCCTAGCTCGCTTCCCGTCTTCAAACATGGAGAACTTTAGCAAAATTTCAAGAAGGAACACTATATACTTTCTGACCCAGGTATTTTCGTACCTGCGGTCCCATTACCGCTTCTGCGGTCCCACTTCTGCGACTTTTCCCCCGCATCTGCGGTCTTCATTAAAATGACAAATCTCCGCATCTGCGGTTAAACACTCGCACATGCGCTACCGTAGATGCGCCCACAACACCGCTTCTGCGGTTCCTGAAGAAATTCACATTGCCCGCATCTGCGGCTGCTTTACGCATCTGCGATCATCGCACATGCGGCCTCCTAACCGTAAGTGCGGTTATGACAGAACCAAAAGCTTCAGCTGAAACTCAAGTTCCAAATCCTTTCGTCAACCTTCCAAAATCACCCTGAGGCCCCGAAACCTCAACCAAAAGCACAAACATATCCCAATATCTTATCCAAACTTGTTCCAATCTTCAAAATACCTCAAATAACATCAAATCAACCAAACACGCCGGATTCAAGCCAAACTTTCAAAAATCTTCCGAATTCCATTTTTGATCAAAAACCCAACCAAACCACGTCTGAATGACCTGAAATTTTTCACACACATCCCAAATGACATAACAGAACTACTGCAACTTTCGGAATTCCATTCCGACCCCTATATCAAAATCTTACCTATCCACCGGAAAACACTAAAATATCAATTTCGCCAATTCATGCCTAAACCTTTCACGGACCTTCAAAATGCATTTTGATTACGCTCCTAAGTCCCAAATCACCTAACGGATCTAACCAAATCATAAAAATTCTGAACCGATATCATATACCAACAAATCAAAATCTTGGTCAAACTTTTCAAATTTCAAGCTTCAAACTGAGAACTGTTCTTCCAAATTCATTCTGATTACCCTGAAAACCAAAACCAATGATTTACATAAGTCATAATACATCACACGGGGCAAATCATGCCCGAGAACTGGTGAGAAATGTTCAAAAGCTCAAAACGTCCGGTCGGGTCGTTACATCCTCCCCCACTTAAACATATGTTCGTCCTCGAACGTGCCTAGAGTTGTTCCAAAAGCCAACCAATCGCTAAATAACCTTACCATGCATATACCCAAGGGTGATCCCGTGTCACCCTATCTCATATAGGTCCGATAACATAATGTAACTGAAATTTTCACAATCCAACCTAGCTCATAACCCTTAGAACCACATTTCCACTTCTTAAATCATCCACAAGATCTGAATCTCACATCTATACTCTGAATAAGTCTGAACCAGCTGTAATAACTCATACCTGCAACCTCAGGTGCAATTACATGATATACCACATAACTCAAACACTTGTAGCGATAAATTCTAATCACATCAGTTGCACACAACAACCGAATACCGATAGTAAACCTCTTATCAGCTAAAGTCTCATTCCCATACTTTCATATACTGCTAGTGATAAATAAAACACGCAGTAAGCCATAACCATTTCTTAGATCAACCATTCATGAAGCCACTTCTCCTTTGGCAAAGACCATAGCAAATTTCTACGTCGAACCTCGACATTATCCTTCCAATATGTTGAAATCGAATCCGTTTGTATTCATTAAAGACCCCAACGATCCCATCTAATCCAATACAATTACTCTGGTGACATGACACATCAATACAGGATGAAGCCGCAACTTGTGCAATTCGCGCACCAATAAGCAAAATCCGAACATACTCAAATCATGAAAGTGACTCAAATAAAAGAGTTGTACCGCAAGCTCACCGGTACCACCACACACAATGCCGAGAACTCGACACACATCATAGAAACAGGACACACGAATCTAACCTGCAGGATCATAGCTTCACTCCAATGCGCGACCTCATCCAAACACTAGTCCACATGAAACATCTCAAGTCACTATGCTCAAAATCAACAACCATGCGCAATATGATGTCTAAAATCAAAGTAATCATCATAAACACCACGAAGCAATTGACATAACATTACACATACCCGAAGGGACACAACCGATACACCACCCGCCGAGCAATACCCAGTACTCTTCCCGCTTGACTTCCACTATGAAACCCCAATGGAACCGCACCACATGTGCCTATAACCAACAAATCATAATGCCTCGCAACCCAGCAAAGTAACTCATAGATCACCTCCGAACTCTAATAGCCCTATAATAATTGAATCAACACGTCCCTCACCAATGGCAACTCGTAGTCAACAAAGTCGTCTCGATGCAGAACATACATCCATATGGGTCTACCAATGAACCACACATCAACTCTAGTTACCTACAACAGATAAATAACCCTCCGAAGGTTCACAATGAATGAATCCTAGCACATACTATCACCTGACTAACTTACCCGCATCTTTTCCGTCCACAACTACGAGCTAACCTGTGTATGAGAACTTCTAGTCTCCAAGCCCATAAAGCACATGAATTACCATAACCGATCCAATTTCGCCGCTCGAATATATCACACACCTCTAATACTCAATCATCCTATGAGGGGTACACCTATACTTCTTCTGTGCCACTAAGCCAACTCGAATATCATCAGTCGATCAGACGAGATAGTGCCGCAATACCAATAAAGCATCCATAACTCAACACATCGACCTTTTCTGAAATGTATACCCTCATCAAGCCACACCAATCAGTAATACCATTTCCTTAATCATCTGAAACTGCCTGTGCTGCCTAAGAATCTTATGACTTTCCTTTCAGAACTGAACCGCAACCTTACACACGCAATTCTCAATCCTTCACAACATACCGCATGTACCATACCATCCTAGGATAACACGAGAACTTCATATCCTTTCCGAGCCACAAGCAACTATGTACTCCACTAACCAAGAACTTTCCATTGACCCCATCTAGAAGAAAACCACTATACATTCCATGCTCTTCATGCTCATAGAAAATATACACCTCTCACCGTGGTAGAAACCGTCAAGGACTCTCCGAATTTCCATGTGCACAAACTAAATTGTCAGGACTG